TAGCGCTTCAGTTGATTAAATGACCCTGGTGTTTACATAATCGATTCCATCTATAGCTGCAACAACGTTCAGGAATACCGCAACGTTCTCGCGAATCGCGCATAGAACTCATTTGAATTCTGTGCCTAAAAGTTCGCCTCACTCAGACTCTGACCAGCGGTAAATCCAAACGCTTCGTTCGTATTCGATGTCTCTATATTCGACATGATATCAATGTTGATGCAACTACTTTATAGATGGACTAAGTCCCGCATCACCCTCATACAATCTGCAGTAAAAACACGTATCCAGAATACTAGTACACGAGTGCACGTATCAGAAGAAGAGCTGTACCACTACGGTGCATATACTGTTTGATGCATAGGATCAATGACTCAATGGCATACTCCATGCAAGATACTTGATGCATTTTTAGTCTACGGTGTATCGTAATAGTACGGTGTCAAGAATACTTTCGTGTTCTCATGAAGCTCACTCACTTCATGAGAAACGTCTCCACTTGAACGTTGACGCCAAGCTGACCTTTGATCAAGGATTCTCTAAGCTTCATTTACGTTCCTGCAATTTGATAACGATGCTCGAAGCGGAGCAGAAAAATAAATATGCGAGGTTCATACATTACAGTGTAGTTAGGTTATACACGGGCTTTTCAATGTGGTTCATATAGATGCTTCGGTGAGAGCAGCGTCATGCCAACTTCTGTAGTTTCTGGAGAGTTGGTCGTTTGAGGCACTTCTTGTTGATGATGCTGGATGCTGTCCGTGTGAGATGCAATAGTGTCGAGTACTGTGACTGCGTCATCTCCCGCGGACGAACGTCAAGGCAGCACAGCGACCCAACCACCGATAGCCCGTCGCGACTGAAAATGGGGAAGCCGGCGTAGAATTGGATGTTATTGTCGATGATAAGCCGTATCTTGCAGAATCGCCCGTCGTTCTCGGGGTGCTGGAGGAGCATGGGCCTGTCCCCCATTAGCAGATACTGACAAAGCGTCTCTTCTCGCGGCACGTCGGCGTTCTGGAAGATCGGAGAGCTGCTGGCGAGGACGTGCAGCAGCGATTTACCGACAATGCTCACCAACGAGACCATGCACGATAGTTCCTGCGTCGCTAACTCGCAGATAAGACCCAGTTCGTCGGACCCCTTAGCTGTGAGAAGCTGCTCCTGAGTGATAGCTTCCAGTCGATGGCTTTCATTCGGAGGGATTGGACCCCTGGGTGTTGACGTTGAGGTGCCGAGAGGGTAAATCGGAGTCACGGCGCTAGAGAGAGCACACGCCTCCACGGGTAGCAGTTCTCTAGAGAACTGAGACTGTAGCTTGACTAGTGCTGATGGCATATTAGGTGTCAGGTCAGTTATGAGATCCCCACTAATGTCAGAATCCCAAAAACAATGAGCCATCACGCGATTGATGCCTTCATCGAGAACGGAATTGAGTTCTTCGAGTACGTTCGCGGCAGTGTGGACCTTGCTAGGCTTAGTAGGGCTGATACTTGCTTCCGATTCAAACACCTCGACTTCGTTGCCTAGAATGTCTGCAAGGTACGATACTACGGCTTGGCCTGGTTCGCGTGCATCGTCAACGTCAGGCTGAATCCTTGTACTGCGGTAGATTTCTCCACCAGAACCGTGACTCGACGTACTTGCGCTGCTACCACTTCCACGATCGGAGAATACCAGATGAGCGTGATTACAGTTCTGGATGGTGTCCAAGCAGTGAGGACACACGAGGACCGAGATCTTCCTGCCGTTTATGGTGTCTAGAGGTTGTCGGGCCCAGCAACGCCAACATACGAACTGAGCGCACAAATAGCAACGGGTCTTCTTGATAGGCAGCAGCTTGTGGAACTTGCGAGCGCACCCCACGCACTGCGACGCAGGAGACGGGCTCTTCAATGACAATCTGTCGGTCGCCGGTGACTCTGGAGCTTTGGTTCTTATTTTACGACGATGTACTAGATCAGGGAGCGTCAACATGTTTCGCGCTAAGCGTTTTAATCGCCTCTGGACGACATCTGAGGTCTCGCCTTCTTCCGAGCAGCGACCATAGAAAACAATTCGAACTGCAGCTGGTTGGCGATCACTGATCGCTTCAATTGAGCAGCCTAGTGCCAGACCCTGTAACTGGTACGTGTACTTGTTGGAACGCGAGAATCCAAAGCCACGCGCAAGTTCAGCTGGAGGACGCAGCTCTGGAAGCAACTCATCAGGTCGAAGTGATCGCTGCGACAGGGTGAATTGATCTTGTGTTACAGACTCAAACTCCTCTAGAAAACACCACCGCTCATCGTGATCCAGTACTGCTAAGCGTGGATGCTTAAAGCTTGCGGTTTTCACGCATCGATACGGTGTCAACTCTTCATCCTGATTCTCTGGTTTACCCGACGTGAAGCTGCGGACAACAGAACCGCACTCAAACGAACGTCCGTGGATTCTTGTCATCGTCGTATTAAAATCCGCTTCTCCTGGACAACACAACAGCGCGGCAGCTTCCACTACGCTACATTGCAGTTCTCCCTTCACTAGAACTTCAGTCGTGATGGGGTTGTTTCGTTGACGAGTGTACACTCGTAGCTTCTCGTCTTTGCTGTGTTTGTATCTCCCAATGCCAGTATCCCACTCATCCACCGAAATACTCGAAAGTGTGTCAAAGTCGACGCCTGGAACTGCTTCGGCCTCGGTCTGCGCTATCAAAAGCTCCACATCTTCACACTTGATACGCTCGGAAGCATTTTCATTGGCGCACAAGTTGAAGTGGGCACTCTCTGGATGTGCCATACTTCTATGGAGATCCAGAGTCTAGAGTTTAGACGTTGGTGGACGAATATCTGTTAATCTGGATACGTTGGTGCTTGGAGTCAAATTGAAAAGTGCGCGTGCGCTTGCAGCCGCGGCACTCTCCGTAACCTTCTGTTCTACCCACTTGTGCTCTCTACGCCACGCCAGCTCGGTTGAACATTAAGGGACCCGAGAACACCAAGTTGTTCTTGCCTTATCGCCAGTTCGAACGTGCGCTGAACGAAGTGGGGCGACCCGATCAGAACGGGAAACACAACAGTCGACCGCTTTTGGCATCACTACCGGCGAACCTCGTTATAGACAGAAATTTACGTTCTATTGTTGGACCCGTGGAAAGACTCGCCCTCGAAACTTTCTCCGTGCCGTTCGAAGGGCTCAGACGAACGATGTTTCCGGCCAGTTTTTCTGAAATACCATCAGGTCCGCTCTGTTGACCTCAACCGGACACGGTTGAGGTGCTGCGAGAGGCAACGCATAACTATACATGCAGTCTGCATACACTAGGTTCACATGG